TCCAAATAGGGAGGGAAGAAGTGAAACTCTCGCTGTTTGCAGATGACATGACCTTATATATAGAAAACCCCAAAGAATCCATCGGAAAACTTTTAGAAGTAATCAACAACTACAGCAAAGTTGCAGGGTATAAAATCAATTTGCATAAATCAGTAGTATTTCTATACTCTAATAAAGAACTAACAGAAGAAGTCAAGTACACAATACCATTCACAGTAGCAACAAAAAGAATAAAATACTTTGGGGTGAATTTAACTAAGGAAGTGAAAGACCTATACAATGAAAATTACAAGGCTTTTCTGAAAGAAATAGATGACATAAAGAGATGGAAAGACACCCCATGTACATGGATTGGAGGAATAAACATAGTTAAGGTGTCCATTCTACCTAAAGCAATCTACAGATTTAACACTATCCCAATCAGAATCCGAAGGACATTCTTTACAGAATTAGAACAAAGAATCCTAAAATTCATATAGGGCAAGAAAAGACCCCAAATTGCTAAAGCAATCCTGAGAACAAAGAACAAAACGGGAGGCATCACAATCCCTTACTTCAAAACATACCATAAAGCTACAGTAATCAAAACAGCATGGTACTGGTACAAAAACAGGTGCACAGATCAATGGAACAGAATTGAAAGCCGAGAAATAAAACCACACATCTATGGACAGCTAATCTTGGACAAAGGAACTGAGGGCCTACAATGGAGAAAAGAAAGTGTCTTCAACAAATGGTGCTGGGAAAACTGGAAAGCCACATGGAAAAGAATGAAAATTGACCATTCTTTCTCACCGTTCACCAAAATAAACTCAAAATGGATCAAAGTCCTAAAGGTGAGACCTGAAACCATAAGGCTTCTAGAAGAAAATGTAGGCAGAACACTCTTTGACATCAGTATTAAAAGGATCTTTTTGGACACCATGTCTTCCCAAAGAAGGGAAACAATAGAAAGAATAAACAAATGGGACTTCATCAAGGCAAATGAAAACAGGATTGAAACAAAAAAACACCCCACTACCTGGGACAAAATATTTGCAAGTCATACATCCGGCAAAGGCTTAATATCCATAATGTATAAAGAACTCACACAACTCAACAACAAAAAATCAAACAACCCTATCAAAAAATGGGCAGGAGACATGAACAGACATTTCCCCAAAGAAGATATATGGATGGCCAATAGGTACATGAAAGATGTTCATCATCGCTGATCATCAGGGAAATGCAAATCAAAACTATGCTAAGATATCACCTTACACCCATTACAATGACAAAAATATGTAAAACTAATAGTAACAAACGTTGGAGAGGTTGTGGAGAAAAAGGAACCCTCTCACACTGCTGGTGGGAATGCAAACTGGTGCAGCCACTATGGAAAACAGTATGGAGACTTCTCAAAAAGTTAATAATAGAAAAACTATATGATTCAGCCATCCCATTTCTGGGTATTTATCCAAAGAACTTGAAATCAACAATACAAAGAGGCATTTCCCCCTCTGTTCATTGCAGCATTATTCATAATAACCAAGATGTGGAAGCAATCCAAGTGCCCATCGACCAATGACTGGTTAAAGAAGATCTGATGTATACATATACAGTGGAATACTACTCAGTCATAAAAAAGACAAAATCATCCCATTCGCGACCACATGGATGGACCTTGAAGGTATTACGTTAAGTGAAATAACCCAGACAGAGAAAGACAAAACACCCTATGATTTCACTTATTTGTGGAGCATAAACTTACCGACAAAGAGAGCAATTTAGTGATTACCAAGGGGAACAGGTGTGGGGGTAGGCACAAGGGATGTAGGGTCACATTTGTATGATGTCTGACAAATAATAATGTCATTATTATTATAAACTGAAATTTCACAATGTTACAAACTATAATGACCACAATAAAAAAATAAATTAAAAAAATTTCCTCCTTCCTTTAAAACAAAACAAAAAAATCATACAATATTGGCATTTTGTGTCTGTCTTCTTTTACTTAGTGTAATATTTTCAAGATTCATCCATGTCGTAGCATGTATGGTACTTAATTCCTGTTTATCGCCAAATAGTATTCAATTGTATAGATATACTGCATTTTATTTATCCGTTTATCAGTTTACAGACTTTTGGGTTTTTCTACTTTTTGACTATTATGAGTAATCTATGAACATTTATGTTCAAGGTTTTGTGTAAACGTGTTTCTAGCTAATTTTTTTTTTCTTTTGAGGAAGATGAGCCCTGAGCTAATTGCTGCCAGTCCTCCTCGTGTTGCTGAGGAAGCCTGGCCCTGAGCTAACATCCATGCCCATCTTCCTCCACTTTATATGTGGGACGCCTACCACAGCATGGTGTGCCAAGTGGTGCCATGTCTGCACCCAGTATCTGAACCTGTGAATCCTGGGCCACTGAAGTGCAACATGCGCACTTAACCACTGAGCCACTGGGCCAGCCCCTGCTCATTTTTTCTTTTTTATAGAACATCAATTTTACTTTATTAACAAGCTATACTTATTCAGACTTTGGCAGACATTTTCTGAAAATGAACAAAGTGACCCTGTCACTTCCGGGAAGACGCCTGACAAAGTCTTCCAAGTTATCAGTGGTAAAGTTTGAACTGTCAAGCAAAAATCAAAATTGTGGAAAACTTGTGAGCGTGACAATCCTTCTGTAAAGAGTTTTCTGGGGCCGGCCCAGTGGCGCAACAGTTAAGTTGCCGTCACTCTGCTTTGGCAGCCAGGGGTTTGCTGGTTCAGATCCCAGGCAGACCTACGCACTGCTTATCGAGCCACGCTGTGGCAGGCGTCCCACATATAAAAATAAAGGAAGATGGGCACAGATGTTACCTCAGGGCCAGTCTTCCTCAGCAAAAAAGAGGAGGTTTGGTAGCAGATATTAGCTTAGGGCTAATCTCCCTCAAAAAAAGGAAAAAAGTGAATGAAGAATAAACAAGCTGCTCAAAGTAAAAAAAATTTCTAATAAGATTGGTGGTAATATGAAGGAATGTGACTTTTTGATAGTGTATAATGAAATGTATCAACATTTGGAAGAACTACACAACTCAATGAACCAGTGTTTTCCAAATAACCCATACATAATACAGTAAAATTATGTATAGGTAAAATGTTCTTTTAAAGTTCAGGATAGACCAAAGGGTTTTTTTAAAAACAGCCTTATTAAGGTAAATTTACTTTTCATGTAATTTATCCCTTCTAAGTCTACAATTCAATGAGTTTTAGTAAATTTACACAGTTGTTACCATCACCTCAATCCAGTTTTAGAACATCTACATCACCCCTAATGGATTTTTTGTGCCAGTTTGCAATCATTGCCCTTTATTATCCTCACCCCCAGGCAACTACTAATTTACTTTCTGTTTCTACACTTTTGCATTTTCTGAACATTTTATATAAATGGAATCATACAATGTGTGGTCTTTTGCGTATGGCTTCTTAGCATAATGTTTTTGAGATTCATCCATGTTGTGTATATCAGTAGTTTGGTCTTTTTTGTAGTGCTGAAATACTAGTCCATTATATGGATATACCACATCAGATGATTTATCCTTTTATCATTTGATGAGTATTTGGGTTGTTTCCACTTTTTGGCTGTTATGAATAATGGTACTATGAACATTCGTCTGTAGGTTTTTGTGTAGACATATGTTTTCAGTGTTCTAGGGAATAAACCTAAGAGTGGAATTTCTGGGTCATATGGTAACTCTATCTTTAACATTTCAGAAACTGCCAAACAGTTTTCCAAGTGACTATGCCATTTTACAATCCCACCTGCAGTATCTAAGGATCCCAGTCCCTCCACATCCTCACCATCAGTTGTTATTTTCTTTTTAATTATAGCCATTCTAGTGAGTATGGAGTGATTATCTCATCATGGTTCCAATTTGTGTTTCCCTGATGACTAATGATTTTGAGCTTCTTTTCATGTGCCTGTTGGCCACTTGTACTTCTTTGTTGAACTGTCTATTCAATATTTTGCCTATATTTAAACTGACATCTTCCTGTTAATGAGTTGTAACAGTTATTCATATATTCTAGATTGAAGTCCTTTATGAGATACATGATTTGCAAATATTTTCTTCAAGTCTGTGGCTTAGTTTTTTATTTTTTTAGTGGTACTTTGAAGTAAAAGTTGTAAATTTTAATAAAGCCTAGAACAATGGATTAATGTCACAGAGCATGAAGAGTTCGTTGGTGTGGTTTTAGATTTCAATTAACCTTTAAGTTACCATTGGTAGAGTTTTAATATAGTATCATTATCTGAAAAGACAGTGAAATTATTCTTTCATTTTCCAATTTCGTATCTCTATGAAATTGGATTTTCTTCATCAGTTTCAAACTAAACTGCGTACTGCCAACAGATTGAATGCAGAAGTGGGTATGAGAATCCAGGTGTCTTTTATTAAGCCAGACATCAAAGAGATTTACAAAAATGTAAAACAATACCCCTCTTGTCACTACTTTTTTTATTTTAAAGATATAGTTTTTCATAAAAATATTATGTTAACATGTAATACATTTAAGGTTAATTTTAAGTGAATTGGATAAATACTTAAAACTTTTTTTCAGTTTTAATTTCTAATACAGTAAAAATCGATAGGTATAACTCATGAACAGAAGTTCTTTAAGTTCATCAATAATTTTCAAAAGTGTAAAAGGTTCTTGAGGTTAAAAATAAAAATTTGAGAACTGCTGCTTTTAATTTAACATGCCGATTCAGAGTCATATGAGACGGCTCTTTTATATTTGTACCATTGCTTTCTGATTTTCATATAAGTTGGTCTTCTCTTTCTACTAGATTGTTAGCTTTTTGAAAGCAGAGAGCATATATTTTACTTTTATTTCTTAGAAGATTATCATTCTCCTCCTAGAATAAGTATCCAGTGAAGACTTAATAAGGGATTGAAGGATTTCCTATTGGCTGATCACGTTAGAGCAGCATTACTGTGTTGGCTTTAACATAAATAGCTGTATTTTTTCATTCAGGTGGAAGAGCACAATGGTCACATCTTTAAGGCCACCCAATATAGCATCCCTACATACTGTGAGTACTGTTCTTCTTTGATATGGATAATGGACCGAGCCTCTGTTTGCAAATGTAAGTATGAGACATCTTTGAGGAATTGTTTTTAACCACTTGACATTTCTATTTCCCTGAGTTTTCTTATACATTCTTTAACATAAAGGTGTAATTCACACTCTAATTCTTTAACCTCATCTCTCACTATACTCTCACCTGCTCTCTGTAACCAAACCGTATATTTTGGTGTTCTCTGATCACTGTACTTGCATCTCACTCTATCTGGAATGCTGTTCTCCCAGATGTTAGTATGACTTACAATTTCAGTTAATTTGTGTCTCCACTCAAATGTTACCACTTAGAGTGCTCTTTCCTTACTCTCCTATCTAAAATGGCACCTTGTCCCCCATTCTCTGTCCCCTTACTCAGGTTTAATGGTCCTTATAGCACTTATCACTACCCCAAAATATATTAAGTATTCATTTGTTTTCTTGTTAGTCAGTCTGTCCCACTAGAATGTATGCTCTATAGGGTCAGGAAACTTACCTGTCTCTTTTGTATCACCAGTGCCTGGAACAGTTCTGGCACATTTTAAGTTTTAATAAATATTTGTTGGGTAGGTGGACCTATAGCTGGATGGATGAATTAATGAATGAACTCTTAAATTGTAACCAAAAAGGTACTTTTTTCTGCTGTAATCCTTTCGTCATAATATATAAATCCCAGAATGTGAGTAGAGATTTTTTGTAGGTCAACTGGATTCTGGCTTACAGAAAACCTTTAGCTTCCACTCATGTCATTCCATGTATCTAGTCTGGTCCTTTCAGTAATTCTGTGAGGCTTTGTTTACTAGTGGGCCAGAACTGAATGAATAAAATACTAGGAAGGACTGGGTCCGGTATGACAAGAAGAATGAAAGTCATGTTCGCCATAGTGAAATCACTATCATTGCTGGATATGTTCACTTGTTCAGTGGTTCAACGATGGTTTTCATTTTTTTTTATTACTAGAAGTCTAAAAAATTATAGTGAGAATGAAATAGGAAGTAGTTTGCCATGTACTTGACTGTTTAATGCTAGTCTGATTCCTGTAGATTTGGTGTAATTTTCTCTGGTTTGAAACTGAAAATGTGAAGAATCTGCTTTTTTATAACTTGGGTGGGCTTGGTTTGGTTTTTTAACAAAGTAAATAAATTTCTTTGTGATTATAGCAGTACAATGATTTGGCCTCCCCTCTTTGATCTTGGCTTGAAAACCCCACAGTTTATACTCTAGAGACTCAAGAAGGATGTTCAGGTGTTAATATACAAGAGCCAGAGATGGTGTAGCAAGATGACATAGGCCAAGTGTGTTCTCAGTATCCTCCTCTCAGTGTGCCTCTTCCCACCTACCTGGCTAGCTACCTTGTTAGCTCCTGCTCGAAGAAATTATTTCTGCTCTGAACCTTTTCTTTATCTCATCTTCCCAATCACAACTGATATTCTTAATGTTCTGGTTCCTCAGAGCTGTATTCTGGACCTTCTAAGATAATAAATAAGACCTTTCTTAGCTTTGTTTTTTTTTTTGAGTTCATAATAGTTTACATCAGTGTGAGATTTCAGTTGTACATTATTTCTTGACTGTCACCACATGAGTGCTCCCCTACACCCCCTTAGCCTCCCCCGACTCCCTTTCCCCTGTTAACCACTGAACTGTTTTCTTTCTCCCAGTACTTGTTTATATGCTACATGTGAGTGAAATCATATGGTGTTTGTCTTTCTCACTCTTGCTTATTTTGCATAGCATAATTCCCTCTAGCTCCTTCCATGTTATTGCAAATGGGATGAATTTGTCTTTTTTTCTGAGTAGTATTCCATTGTATATATATACACCACATCTTCTTTATCCAATCATCAGTCGATAGGCACTTGGGTTGCTTCCCTGTCTTGGCTGTTGTGAATAGTGCTGCAGTGAACACAGGGGTGCATATGTTACTTTGGATTGTTGATTTCAAATTGTTTGCATAGATACCCAATAGTGGGATAGCTGGGTCGTATGGTGGTTCTATTATTAGTTTTTTGAGGAATCTTCATACTGTTTTCCATAGTGGTTGCACCAGTTTGCATTCCCACCAGCAATGTGTGAGGGTTCTCTCCTCTCCACACCCACTCCAACATTTGTTATTTTTAATCTTAGTGATTATAGCCATTTTAACAGGTGGAAGGTGTTATCTTAGTGTAGTTTTGATTTGCGTTTCCCTGATGATTAGTGATGTTGAACATCTTTTCATGTGTTTATTGGCCATTTGTATATCTTCTTTGGAAAAATGTCTGTTCATCTCCTCTGCCCACTTTTTGATCGGGTTGTTTGCTTTCTTACTGTTCAGCTGTGTGAGTTCCTTATATATTGTGGAGATTAGCCCCTTGTCAGCTATGTGATTTGCAAATATTTTCTCCCAGTTGGTGGGTTGTCTCTTTGTTTTCATCCTAGTTTGTTTCATGTTGCAGAAGCTCTTCAGTCTGATGAATTCCCACTTGTTTATTTTTTTCTTTCGTTTCCCTTGCCTGAGAGGACATGGTATTTGAAAAGATTCTTTTAAGTTCGATGTCAAAGAGTATACTACCAATATTATCTTCCAGGAGTTTTATGGTTTCAGGACGTATCTTCAAGTCTGATCTATTTTGAGTTTATTTTTGTGTATGGCGTGAGATAGTGGTCTACCTTCATTCTTTTGCATGTGGCTGTCCAATTTTCCCAACACCATTTATTGAAGAGAGTGTGTTCTTGGCACCTTTGTCAAGGATGGGCAGTCAAGGATATGTGGTTTTATTTCTGGGCTTTCAGTTCTGTTCCATTGATCTGTGTGCCTGTTTTTGTACCAGTATCATGATGTTTTGGTCACTGTGGCTTTGTAGAACATTTTGAAGTCAGGAATTGTGATACCTCCAGCTTTGTTCTTTTTTCTCAGGATTGCCTTAGCAATTTGGGGTCTTTGATGGCTCCATATGAATTTTAGTATTCTTGGCTCTATTTCCGTGAAGAATGTCTTTGGGATTCTGATAGAGATTGCATTGAATCTGTAGATTGCTCTGGATAGTATGGACATTTTAACTATGTTTATTCTTCCAATCCATGTGCAAGGAGTCTCTTTTTTTTTTTTTTTTTTTTTGAGGAAAACTAGCCCTGAGCTAACATCTGCCAATCCTCGTCTTTTTGCTGAGGAAGACTGGCCCTGAGCTAACATCCATGCCCATCTTCCTCTATTTTGTATGTGGGATGCCTACCACAGCATGGCTTGCCAAGTGGTGCCGTGTCCGCACCTGGGATACAAACTGGTGAACCCCAGGCCACTGAAGCAGAATGTGTGCACTGTGCCACTGGGCCACCCCCAGGAAGCTCTTTACATGTCTTTAAGTCCTTATCAATTTCTCTCAGTAATGTCTTATAGTTTTCATTGTGTAAGTCCTTCACCTCCTTGGTTAAATTTATTCCTAGGTACTTTATTCTTTCAGTTGCGATTGCAAATGGAATTATATTCTTGAGTTCTCTTTCTGCACGTTCGTTATTGGAGTATAGAAAAGCAAGTGATTTTTCTAAGTTGACTCTGTACCCTGCAACTTTACTGTAGCTGTTAATTATTTCTATTAGTTTTCCAATGGATTTTTTGGGGTTTTCTATGTATAAGATCATGTCGTCACCAAACAACAAAAGTTTCACTTCTTCACTCCCTATTTGGATTCCTTTTATTCCTTTCTCTTGCCTAATTGCTCTGGCCAAAACCTCCAGTACTATGTTGAATGAGAGTGGTGATAGTGCACATCCTTGTCTCATTCCTGTTCTCAGGGGGATGGCACTCAGTGTTTGCCCGTTGATGTTGGCTGTGGGTTTGTCGTATGTGGCCTTTATTATGTTGAGGTAATTTCCTTCTATCCCCATTTTGTTAATAATTTTTATCTTAAATGGCTGTTGGATCTTGTCAAATGCTATCTCTGTATCTATTGAGATGATCATGTGGTTTTTATTCCTCAGTTTGTTGATGTGGTGTATCATGTTGATTGATTTGCGGATGTTGAACCATCCCTGTGTCCCTGGTATGAATCCCACTTGATCGTGATGTATGATCCTTTTGATGTATTGATGAATTCTGGTTGCGAAAATTTTGCATCTGTGTCCATCAGCGATACTGGCCTGTAGTTCTCCTTTTCTGTGCTGTCCTTGTCGGGCTTTGGGATCAGAGTGGTGTTGGCCTCGTAGAATGTGTTAGGAAGTGTTCCCATCTTCCCTAACTTTTTGGGGTAGCTTGAGAGGGATAGAAATTAAATCCTCTCTGAAAGTTTGGTAGAATTCCCCAGGAAAGCCATCTGATCCTGGGGTTTTATTCTCTGGGATGCCTTTGATTGCTGTTTCAATCTCTTTGCTTGTGATTGGTCTATTCGGATTGTCTGTGTCTTCTTGACTCAGCTTTGGGAGGATGTAAGAGTCTAAGAATGTATCCATTTCCTCTAGGTTATCCATTTTGTCGGCATATAGTTTTTTGTAGTATTCTCTTATAACTTGTTGTATTTCTATGGAGTCTGTTGTTATTTCTCCTCTTTCATTTCTGATTTTGTTTATGTGAGCTTTCTCTCTTTTTTCTTTGTAAGTCTGGCTATGGATTTTTCAATTTCACTTATTTTCTCAAAGTACCAGCTCTTTGTTTCATTGATCCTTTCTACTGCCTTTTTTGTTTCAATAGCATTTACTTCTGCTCTGATTTTTATTATTTCTCTCCTTCTGCTGACTTTGGGCTTTGTTTGTTCTTCTTTTTCTAAATCAGTTAGGTGTAGTTTGAGGTTGCTTATTTGGGATTTTTCTTGTTTGTTAAGGTGAGCGTGTGTTGCAATGACTTTCCCTCTTAATACAGCTTTTGCTGCATCCCATATGAGGTGGTATGCCATGTTATCATTTTCATTTGTTTCCACATAGTTTTTGATTTCTCCTTTAATTCCTTCAATGATCCATTGCTTGTTCAATAGCATATTGTTTAGTCTCCACATCTTTGTCCCTTCCTCAGCATTTTTCTTTTCTCTTTTTTTGAGGAAGATTAGCCCTGAGCTAACATCTGCTGCCAATCCTGGTCTTTTTTGCTGAGGAAGACTGGCCGTGAGCTAACATCTGTGCCCATCTTCCTCTACTTTGTATGTGGGACATCTACCACAGCATGGCTTGCTGAGGGTGCCATGTCCACACCTGGGATCCGAACCAGCGAACCCCGGGCCGCCAAAGTGGAACGTGCACACTTAACCACTGCGCCACCGGGTCGGCCCCTCAGCTTTGTTCTTGTAATTGATTTCTAGCTTTATAGCATTATAAGCGGAGAAGAAGCTTGTTATTATTTCAGTTTTTTAAATTTATAGAGGCTTTCCTTGTTTCCCAACATACGGTCTCTCTTTGAGAATGTTCCGTGCGCACTTGAGAAGAATGTGTATTCTTCTGTTTTTGGATGGAGTGTTCTGTATATGTCTATTAAGTCCAACGGGGTTAGCTTTTCATTTAATTTCACTGTTTCCTTGTTGATTTTCTGTCTGGATGATCTGTCCAATGATGTGAGTGGGGTGTTGAGATCCCCTACTATTATTGTGTTATTTTTAATATCTTATTTTAGGTTTGTTAATAGTTGCTTCATGTACTTTGGTGCTCCTGTGTTGGGTGCATAGATATTTATAAGCATTATTTCTTCTTGATGAAATGTCCCTTTGATCATTATATTCTGCCCCTCTTTGTCTCTCTTTACCTGCCTTGTCTTGAAGTCTACTTTGTCTGACATAAGTATTGCAACACCTGCTTTCTTTTGTTTGCCGTTAGCTTGGAGTATTGTCTTCCACCCCTTCACTCTGAGCCTGTGTTTGTCATTGGAGCTGAGGTATGTTTCCTGGAGGCAACAAATTGTTGGATCTTGTTCTTTAATCCATCTTGCCACTCTGTGTTTTTTATTGGAGAGTTCGATCCATTTACATTGAGGGTGATTATTGATGTATGACTGCTTAATGCTGTCATTATATCACTCATTTTCCAGTTTTCCTGCATTTCCTTTGTTTCTTGTCCTGTGTGTTTTGGTCTACCCATTGAATTATGCAGTTTTTTATGATGTGTCTCTTTGTTTTTTCCTTATTTACTTTTTGTGTCTCTGTTCTGCCTTTTAGTTTAGTGGCTACCCTGAAGTTTGTATTCAGAATCTTGTGTATAACATAGTCCATTCTCTGAGGGCCTCTTATTCCCCTGGTCTAGACTGATTCCAGTCCCTCTCATTCTCTCCTCCAGTCATTGTTCTCATATCTGATTCCAAGTTGTGTTGTGAGTTTGTGGTTAAAGTGGCAAGCTTGTCTTTGTCCTTGGTGTTCTCCTACCCTTTGGCCTAATGCTGTAGTTGAATATTTGCTATCATATTCTGATTCTACTATCTATTTGTCTCCTTACTCTGTGTTTTGTGACCCCTTTCTCCCTTTTGTTCTTTTTTCAGGTTTGAGGGCCTTCTTGAGGCTTTCTTAGGCAGGGGGGAGGGTGTCTTGTGTCTACGAAGTCCTTTAGCTTTTGTTTGTCTGGGAAAGATTTAATTTCTCCCTCATATCTGAAGGATATTTTTGCTGAATAGAGTATTCTTGGCTGAAGATTTTTATCTTTTAAAGTTTTGAATATGTCATTCCATTCTCTCCTAGCTTGTAAGGTTTCTGCAGAGAAATCTGCCGAAAGCCTGATAGGGGTGCCTTTGTAGGTTATTTTCTCCTGCCTTGCTGCCCTGAGTCTTCTTTCTTTGTCAGTCTTTTTTGCCAGTTTTGTTACTATGTGCCTTGCAGTACGTCTTTTTACATTGACAAATCTAGGAGATCTGGAAGCTTCCTCCACACACATTTCCCGCTCTTTCCCTAGATTTGGGAAGTTCTCTGCTATTATTGCTTTGAACATGCTTTCTGTTCCATTCTCCTTCTCTTCAATTTCTGTAATACCTATAATTCTTATGTTGCGTTTCCTCATTGAGACGGATATTTCTCACAGACTTTCTTCATTTATTTTTAGTCATAGTTCTGTCTCCTCTGTCTGGAGCATTTCAACATGTCTATCTTTGATTATGCTGATTTGCTCCTCTATGGTGTCGACACGAGCATTCAGGGAATCCGTATTTTGTTTTATCTCTTCCATTGTGTCTTTGATCTCTAATATTCTGATTGATTCTTCTTCATAGTTTCAATCTGTTTTGTGAAGTAGCTCCTGAACTCATTGAATTGTTTCTATATATTCTCTTTTACCTCATTGAGTTTTTTGATACCTGTTTTGAATTCATTGTCATTTAGTTTACTTATTTCTGTGTCCTCGGGACTGAGTTCTGGGTGCTCGTTGTTTTCTCTCTGGTCTGGAGATTTGATGAAGTGCCTGATGTTGGAAGGATGGGTCTTTCCCATTCTGATATTATTCGGTTCCAGTTACAGCCTATCCCCAGTGGATGGGTGTCAAGAGCCACGTATTCTGAGCCCTCTGCCTTCAGCCGAGATGTCGCAGTGCAGGTTGGGGGAGGGGCACTTTCTCTTGCATGCAGTCCAGACTTCCTGATCAGGTCTCGCCCTCTTGTCCATCCTGGGGTCTTGGCTTGATGAGGTCATCCCACGCACAAGCTTTCGCCCCATTAGAGCACTTCCCTCTAGGCTGCAGGGGCCCTAGGGATTCCTGGGTGATCCTGCGGACGTGCAACCCCTGCCCCACTCCTTCCCTCTTGGAGCGTCCCGCGGCAGCAACGACAGTCTTTAGAGGAGGGAGCAAAGCTCTCTCTTACCCTGTTCCAGCTCCTCCGAGGGTATCTCCAGCTTCTCCACTCTCCGTCGTGTGGCTTCTCTGACTCTCTGAGAATTTTTGTGCTGTTAGGGTCTTTTCTGTTGGAATATGCTTGCTCCTTTGTATTGTATGTTGGAGCGGAGAGAGTCCCAGGCAAGTTCACTGCACCATGACGCTGACATCACTCCCTTTCTTAGCTTTTAATGTACTAAAGTTTTTTTTTATTTCAGTAGAAGTCTTTGGCAGTAATGCCTTCCTAACCCATTGGAATGATTCTTAATAGATATTTCTGACATTTTAGAAGATTATGGATCAGATATGTAAGGGGAACATGAGTGCTATATTGTGAATCAAACCACAAAGTTATATAAATATTCTGTTTGGAAGAATAAAAAGCTTTTTCATAGACAGTAGTTAGAAATTTTAAGCATGTTTTTAGCTTCATTTTTCCAAATACAATGGCTTAAAATCCATTTTCATTATAATACCCTACAAACATATGTGTGATGTTATAGCGGTCTTGGACTTAAAGAAAAAATTTGTCCAGAATAAAGTTGTAAAATTGTTAAGTTCTTGTCATGAATTTACAGACTTCTAAAAATGCTGCATTCTTAACCTGTTTTTCAGTATGCAAGTATGCTTGCCATAAGAAGTGCTGTCTGAAAACCACAGCCAAGTGCTCTAAAAAGGTAGGATATTATCACCTATGAGTAATAAATAACAGATCTGTTGGTATTTTGTGCCTCCTTGAAAGAAATCAAGGCCTCTTTAATGATTTCATAGAGCAGTGGTTTTCAAACTTTTTGACCACAAATCACAGTAAGAAATACATTTTATGTCATGATCTAGCATACACATATAGTGAGATGTGTATATATATCTAAAATAATTTTCCTGGAACTATATCACATGGAAGCTACTAAACTGATTTCACAACCGACAATTTACTAAAACACTACTTTTAAGGGTTTCCCACTTTATTAAACACTCATAAGTTTTCCTCGGAATTGTCTTGAAAGTGATAGTTAAAGATTTTAACATGAACAGCAAAATTCCTCAGCATAGTTGATGTTTTTACATATTTATACTTGGATACACGGAGATCTAAAAGATAATGAACAATGTACTATGGTACTTTATGCTTCAAGGAAGCAACCATTTTTGAAACATTTCAGGCTTTTCTTGATGTGTAATCACATTTTCTTACTTATTAATCACATACCGACAATTATAACAGTACTATACAATTCTGAACTGTAATATAAATGTGTGTATGTGTTGTTTATAGCCCACATATAGAATTTGCATCTATTCCTAATTCGTTGACAAATTATGGCAGGAAACAAGGAGAAATTTGATTCAGGGCTTAAAGTACAGTGAAGGTGGGACATGTGCTTCTTGTTAAGATGGAGTAGCTTATGAAAGACTAATACTCATGTTGAGAACAACTGAAGAAAGTCTGTTGCCAAGCATCGAAGAGCTGCCCAGGCAAATTAGACTTTAAAGGTCTAGATCCTAGAGAGAAGAGAATTGCAGAGTGGTAAATCTGTATCTGTGAGATGTTTTTCTTGTACTTGGAATTTGTTAATTTTTATTGTAGGACAGGAAACCAAGAATCTGGGCACAGGGCCACATTTGAGAGTCAGAGGAGTCAGCACAGCTTTTAGGAATCTCATAGGGCTATAGAGACAAAAGTTGGAGTTTGGGATTGCCGGAACTTTAGGGACCATTATCCAGAGATATAGAGAAGTAAGCCTGAAACTCAGAGGTTTTCTTCTAAAGGCATTTTCTGAATTCTTAAGCTGCCTGGGGTAAAAGGCTAAGAATCTACACAGAAAAGCAGATTTCTGCAGTGTCACAGTGCTAAGGAGAGAAAAATTGGAATTGTATGATCCACCTTTGAAGAGAGACCCTGGTCAGTACCATAGACTTTCATTGAGACCTCTGAAGAGCTGTACTCTAGGGGGTGAACCATTGATAGACTGAGCTTTATAAAAACTGCAAACTAGCTTTGAGGCCATTCTTGATTAGATTAAGATGATCTGTTTCTTATTATAGCTACCCACCAGAGAGAATAGGTTCAACTCTCTTTAAAGAGAGAGAATATCATCCAGAGCCTTAACAGTTTGCTTGAATACAATATCAGACATTAAGAAATGAGAGTAAGGGGGCTGGCCTCGTGGTGTAGTGGTTAAGTTCAGACGCTGTGCTTCAGCAGCCCAGGTTTGTAGGTTCGGGTCCCAGGCTTGGACCTACACACCATTCATCAGGCCATGCCATGCCGCTGTCCCACATACAAAAAATAGAGGAAGATTGGCACAGATGTTAGTTCAGGCACAATCTTCCTCACCAAAAAAAAAGAGAAGCAAATGAGACTAAGAAAAGAGACAAATAGAGAATATCAACAGACCCATAGATGACCCAGTTACTGAATTAATCAGATATGTATTTAAAAAATTTTTTAATTCATGTATTCAAACGATAGATTAAAAGGTAGAAAATTTCTTTTCTATCAGAAAACTGAAATACACATAAAAAAAGAGTAGTCAAATGGAAATTCTGAAAATAAAAAGTGCACTGACATTATAAACTCAGAAGAATGATTTAACAGCATATTGGCCACAGGAGAAGAGAAGATTGGTGAATTGAAAGATAGGTCAGTAGAAATACCCAAGCATGGAGAGCAAAAAGAAAGGAGAAATACGTAAATTAACATGAGAGACATATGGGAAGGATGAAAGGTTCTTAAACATGTGAAAGGGGAATCCAGGAAGAAATAAGAGAGAACAAGGAAGAAGCAGCGTTTTAAGAGATAATGGCTAACACATCAAGTCACAGGTTCATTAACTACTTTTAACTTAAAGTGAGATAAATACAGAGAAAACCATCAGAAGCACAGTGCTCCAAATGAAAGAAAAAATTTCTTCAAAGCAGTCAGAGGGAAAAAAAATAAACACTACTAAAGAATCAGTGAAAAGACTGACAACTGACTTCTTAACAGGAATGATAGAAGCCAAAATACAGTGGCTTGGCATATTTTAAGTGTTATAAGAAAATAAAGCTAACCTAGAATTCTGTACCCAGTGACAATAGCCTTCAAAAGTGAAAATGATGTGAAGATGTTTCCAGACAAAGAAGAACTCAGAATTTATCACCAGTAGACCTACATTAAACGAAACACTAAAGGAGGTTCTCCAGGAAGAAGGAAAATGATCTTAGATAGAAACAGATGTGTAGGAAAGAATGAAGAGCAACAGAAAGAGTAAATAATGTGTAAATATAAATGAATATTGACTAAAAACACAATAATAAGGTCTTGTGGGGCTTAAAATATATGGAGAATTAAAATGCATGAGAACAGCAACACAAAAGGTGGTTGGGTAAATGGAGTTAAACTATTATAAGGTCTCTGGGTTATCTGGGAAGTGGTTAAAGTGCTAAAAATATATTAGACTTAAATGTGTTATGGATATTTGTTGTAGTCTTTAAAGTAACCACTAAAAGAACAGCAAATGAATATATGGCTTAAAGGCAAATAAAGATGGAAAAATGGAAAAACAAAAAATACTTGATTAATCTAAAAAAAGACAAGAAATGAGAGAAACAGAAACATAAATCAGGTTAGACCAAGAAAATAATTAGCAGATTGGTGAGTATAAGTCCAAATATATTGGTAATTACATTAAATGTTACTTCCAATTAATATGTTAAAACCAACTGAAAAATCTCAATGATATGCTGTTTACAGGAGACATAATTAAATATAAAGATACAGGAAGGTTGAAAGTGAAAGAGTAGATAGATATAGCATGCAAGAACCAACCAATAGAAAGGTGGTGTAGCTGTACTAATATTCAAGTGTACTTTAGGACAAAAAACAGTACTTTAGATAACGGTGTTTCATAATGATAAAATGGTGAACCCCTCAGGAAGATAGAGAAATTCTAACTTTAGAAGAGTCTAGTATTATAACTTCAGTACGTGGCAGACAGAAATTCAGTTAAGGATACAGTTGGTATGAAAATCAAGATTAAAAAACTTGGCCTAGTTGATATGTATTGAACCCTGCATTGTACAACTGCCTGAATAGAGAGTCATTTCAAGTGCCCATAGAACATTTGACAAAATTGATTGTATGTTGGACCCTAAATCAAGTCCCAATAAATTTTAAAGGATTGAAAATATTGAGATTATATTCTTTGACCAGAATGGAATTAAACTATAAATCAACATAAAGATAACTAGATAGTCCTCAGTTGTTTGGAAGTTAAGCACTATACTTGTAAATTAGAATAAAAATTGAAAAATATTTTGAACTAAATGAAAGTATGACATAGCAAAAGTGTGAGTAATTAGAGGAATATTTATAGCTTTAAATGTATACATTAGAGAGGATAGGAGACAAATAACCCTGGCAAATTAAACCCAAGACAATAGCAGGAAGATAATAAAGAGAAATAAATGAAATCAAAAGCATTTGTACAAGAGATAAAAATCTACAAAGCCAAACTTTAGCTCTTTGAGAAGATTAAAACAATGGATAAACTCTTGGGAAGAATGATCAATAAAAAGAATTTTTAAAAAACAGAAATTGTCATTCTGAGGAACAAAAATGCACATGTCACTGCAGATGTTGCATATATTAAAAGCAAAATAAGAGGCTATTACAGATAGATGGGTACTAATAAACTTGACAATTTAGATATAGGGCAAATTCACACAAAAACGTAACTTAGCTAACATAAGTCAAGAAAAAATAGAAAATCTGAAGAGTCATATCTGTTAAAATAGAATCTGTAATTGAAAATCTTTCCACAAAGAAATCTCCAGGCCCAGATGGTTTTTCCATTGAATACTTCCCAGTATTTAAGGAAGAAACAACACCAGTCTTTTACAAACTCTGCCAGAAAATGGTAAAAGAGTGAATGCTTCATAACTTTTTTCCCCAAATTGGCTTATGAAGATAGTGAAAACTTGAAGTCAAGCATGAAAAAGATAGTACAGGGGCCAGCCCTGTGGCCAAGTGGTTAAGTTCACGGAATGCTCCGCTTTGGTGGTTCAGGGTTTTGCCGGTTTGGATCCTGGGCATGGACATGGCACCACTCGTCAAACCATGCTGAGGCGGCATCCCACATAGCACAACCAGAAGGACATACAAGTAGAATATACCACTATGTACTGGGGGGCTTTGGGGAGAAGAAGGAAAAAAAAAAAGAAAAGAAGATTAGCAACAGATGTTAGCTCAGGTGCCAATCTTAAAAAAAAAAAAGATATTACAGTAAAGGAAAATTGCAGGTCAGTCTATATCATAAGCATTGATGTAAAAATCTTAAAATATTAATATATTAAATTTGTGCTAATGATAAAAAAATGTGAAAAAAATACCTTATGGTAAAGTTGTTTTTTATTCCATGAATGCAAAGTTGGTTTATCATTCAAAAGAATCAGTCGATATAATTCACCACGTTGAACAAATAAAGAAAAAAATGTAATTTCAATAAATCAGGAAAAGTATTAGATAAAATTCAAAACCCATGCATTATTCAAACAAGTAAACAAACAAAAAATAATCGACCACAGAGTGGAAGAAGATATATTTGCAATTCATCTGTCCATCTTGGATCTGCAGTATATCAAAAGCATCTACAAATTAGTAAGAAAGATGGTCAGCTCTATACAAAAATGAGCACATGACTTAAGCAAGCACTTCACAAACTACTCTTGACATTATTTGTCAGTATTTATCCAACCTGAACATAAGCATTTCTCATGACTCAGCAGTACCACTCCAAGTTATATACCCAATAGATCTGCATAGATATTTGTGCCAAGAGACGAATAAAGAACATTGATATCAGCACTATTTGAAATATCCCCCAGCTCGAAGAAACCTAAATGTTCATCAGCGGTAGGATGAATAAATAAATTTTGGTTTATTTGTATAATGGAATACTATATAATAATGAGATTAAACTATTGGTACTCACAAATATAATGTTGAATGAAAGAAGTCATAAGCAAAAGAGGGCATTCTGTATTATTCCATTTAAATAAAGTTCAAAAATAGATGAAACTAACTTATGGTATACATGTTATATGATATTACTAATATAATTTTCAAAAGCAACTAAAACTAATTTATGGTGATAGCTAGCAAGTAAAGATAATTTATAGTGATAGAAGTACTGGTTGGTTGTGAAGGTTGAAACACATAGTGGCTGGGAGGGCTTTGAGGAGAATTTTATACTACTGGTTATATTCTATTTCTTGATTTGGGTCCTGGTAACAAGTGTGCATTTACTTTGTCAAAGTCTGTCAGGCTTAAACGTACGATTTGTGCACTTTTCTGTATGCATGTTATACTTCAATAAAATTTTATTTAAAGTATACAAGGAAGTTAATTTGGAGGAAAAATAACTATAAAAACATTTTTTTACAAGGAAAACTCGAGTTAAATTTTTTTCAGTTGAAAATAGTAAAATTAATTTTTACCTTAATTTCAAGAAATAGACTTTTTTAGCAAGTGTGCTTTAGATTAGTTGGTTTCAAATCAGACTATTTTAAAATTTTTGTTTAATACTCTCAAGTACTTTTTTGCTTTCACAGATCTTAACTATTAACATTTCTAATGCCGTAGGGATAGCCATAACATTTAAATAAACAGATTATATGTGTGCATCTGTGTGTCACAGTAATAGCAAGAAGTTTGGCTAAAGTTTATTTTTGTTTTAATCATTGCAGCAAACATTATTCTATTTCTTTAACAATTTATTGAACATTTGCCATATACCAGATACTATGCTATGTATGTTCATCTGTTAATCTTTACAATAAGCCTCTCAGATAGAAAGGTAATACTCCTGTTGCAAATATAAATATAAAGTAACATAGCTATAACCTAGTTGTAAATATGAAGTAACCTAAATAGCCTAATTCATATAGTGATGATGCAAAATTTTAACTTGCATTCTCTAAATTTTTCAAGATTAATTGTCCTTCCAATTCAGACCTAGAAATACTTTTCAGAGATGTTGCTTTATAATAATTTAAGATAACTTAACATGCTTCAGAGTAGACATGCAGTTAATTCTCTTGAGAATTAAGTGCTGGAATTCAGAGTATATGTAGATGAATGACACATAATATAAAACTTAGGTCTGCTTCTACTTAAAATTCTCTGGTTGCTTCCTTATCTGTCAGGACACGACGCAAATTCTGTAACTTAGTACTCAAAGCCCTTTATAATCTCTCTGTCTACCTTTTCCTCATTTTAGTTCAGCCATATCAGATTACTTTTAGTTTATTTTGCCCAACTTTGTAGTTGTGTGTTTTCTGTGCCTAAAAGGTTCTTTTCTTGCCTTCTTTACTTATGTATTATTTGCTTTTCAGCAGTTAGGTTAAGTATCAAGTCTTCTCAAGGTCATTGGTTGTTACCCAGCCCAATCTATAATATCTAATAAATCTTTACCCATCTCTACACACTACACACTCTATACTACTAATACTAGTAGACTAGTATTAGTCTACTAATACTACTAGACTAATACTACTAGTCTACACACTAATACTACTACTATTACTCTTAGGATAAGGACTATCTCTGATTTGATTTTGTTTCCCTGTTACCTAGCACGTAAATGACAAATGTATTGTTAGACTGGAAAGAGAAATTAGGATCAATTAAAGTAATATCTTCAATATTAGACTCAGGAATGTTTGTACCTTATTTTGGTATATGCTAATTAGCCACTGAAGGTTTTTGAGGATAATAAAGTAGATTATATATACTATATAATATATTAAAAAGGGAGAAAATGGATGTGGGGAAATTCATCAAGAAGCTGCTGGAGTAGTCCAAGTGGTCAGTGACGTAAGTTTGAACTAGGGTGATGGCACTGAGAACAGAAAAGAAAAAACAGTGTACTGATTCAGTGAAAGAACTTGGTACTGATTGGATCCAGGTTGAAGGAGAGAGTAGAGTGTACAGTGATGGGTTAGAGAGGGAGAATGGTGCAAGAGAAGGAAAGGACAAAAAAGATTTACAAAAAAGGTTTTAGTCTCAAGTAATACCTGGCATTTTTCTTTTCTGTGAATTATTTCAAATAATCTTAAGGATAAGCTGTTCTTTTGCAGTCACATACACTATAGTTAGTAAGGTATGATATTAGGTACACTATTGAAGTAAATAAAAAAGAGCTAAAACACTCATCATGGGCCAGTCTGTGTGTCTCTGCCTTTAGCTATGACATCAGTGTTCAGTTAAACTTCTCTAAAGTTTTCATAAACATCGAAGCACTCTTATGCTTCAGAAATTACTGACATCTCTAATTCATATCAAATTAGTAGATTTTTCGAATGCTATCTGGTAAATGTTTAGGATACAAAGTCTATTCCGCTTCTCTCTTGCCCAAATCCCACTTTACGTGAAGGGACGTTTAGCAGGAAAGGAAACAGTAGCCTGTTGCCACTGCCTCCATTCTCCACCCCATAATTTTGGGGGGAGATTCCTACTGGGAGAGGATTGAAACTAACATCTCACTTACTTATACTCTCAGCATTTACTGTAATTCACTTTCCCCTCAATTCTCATAACCGTGTTTATAAAACCTCAGAGAAATAAAAAGTAGTTCCTCTTAAAAAATTGGTTAAACGTGTTTAAAGATGGTTGAATGTATTTGGAACAAAAAATTATCTTCCATTTAGTATGATCCAGAGCTATCATCTCGACAGTTTGGGGTTGAACTGTCTCGTTTGACCAGTGAAGACCGAACTGTTCCTTTAGTGGTGGAAAAGCTCATAAACTACATTGAAATGCATGGACTGTACACAGAAGGTATTTACCGAAAGTCTGGTTCAACTAATAAAATCAAGGAGCTTCGTCAAGGTCTAGATACAGGTGAGATAGTGCCCTCCAAATCAAAACCAAGTACTTTTATTTAAATAGGTCATTTCATGCTCTTAATGTTTTCATCACATGTTGGTCCTTTTCTTGCAGCCAGAAGAATGCAATCAGTTTCTGTGGTGCTTGTTTATCATTTTGTAGCTTTCTAAAGAGTCTTTGTTTTTATGTGGTCAATTCAGCAAACATTTATTGAATGTGTCATTTGTGCAAGACCTTATTGGGTACTTCAGACAGATTTCATTTAATCTTTTTAAGAATCCAGTAAGATCACAGTATCTGAAATTTACAGAGGAGAAAATTTAGGTTCAGGGAAATTAAATAACGAGCAGTTGAGGATGATGCAGGGCACTGTGCTAATGTTTTTATACTAATCTTCGCAACAGTCCTATGAATTAGAGAGTATTACTCCAGTTTACAGATAAAGAAACTGAGGCCTACAGAGGATCTTGCCCAAAGACTCTCCATCAATAAGTGAACAAGCTGGGCTTTAACCCTAGATTTTCTGAATCCATAAACTGAACTATTGCCTATTAGTCTTTGTTATTCTGACTCCAAGTGGTGCTCTTTCCAACACATCTTCTTGCCTTCCTACATTGATGACATAGCTATTTAAACTGGTAATTAGTAGGTTGAACATGTGTTTGTGTAGAGTTCTAGCCTCAGTCCTGGAGTGTACCCAGGGGTTTAACTTTGACTTTGGTTTCATTCTCAACTTCTACTCTTTACCGCTATTGGGAAAGAATAGGTCCTTTTTAATCACACTTAGGTACAAAACTTGTCTCTGTGTTCCTAAGAACCTACCCACATGCTTTTTCTTTGCAGTTTTTTTTTAATGAACAAATTAATGAGAAAAGAATCAGTATGGAAATAATAACAGAAAATGCCTAGTAAAACTCAAGCAGAAGGTTCTGCCCACCAGAGACTCAGTCTACTCCAATTTAAAGGCAAATTGCCAACTTGTCTCTTGTACCTTAGGTCAGCACAAATGAAAAATCATTCATCCTGTGTCCTCCCGATCATCTCATCTGTATAACCTTAGGGAGTTTTTAAATGAAACAGAATAATATGTTTTCTTTACAGTTCCTAAGCTCAATTATTGCTGTCCTTTCATCTCTAACAATGACTTAAAATCAGCCTTACTATTACAAAATGCTCTCTGGATCTTTTTTCCATTTGCCATCCAAAGCATTGCTACTCAAAGTGTGGTTCCCACACTAATCCACAAGATAAGTACAGAAATTGAGAGCAAGCATTTAGAAACATTTATAGCAGTTTAACAGTGCATTGACATGAAAAAACGTGATCTTTTATTTTACACATCTGTCAGTCCACAACAGATTTGGAAAACAAAGAAAAACAGTTCCTTTACCACAGTTAGAAGAACTGCTGCCAAGCATGAAATTAGATTGTAGAAGATCTAAGTTAGTTTAAGAACATGTAGGCTTCTTTTGGTGATGATAGTTTGTAAAGTGAATTATTTGAATCTTTTTTGCATGTTTTGGCCTTGTTGTCTAACTCTTGTCTCTAAATAGATGCTGAGAGCGTAAACCTAGATGACTATAACATACATGTCATTGCAAGTGTATTCAAACAATGGCTTCGGGATTTGCCCAATCCACTCATGACCTTTGAACTCTATGAGGAATTTCTTCGAGCTATGGGTAAGTACAGGCTTCCTGGTTTCAGGGGAGGCCTCACTTAGGAAAGGACTGCCATCTTCATTATAGATTATTTGGCCATCCTCTTGTGATTTAGTCTTTATAGATCCAAAACCAAAAGTAAGCTTCTGACAGTCAACACAAAACTGCCAGTGTATACTCACCTATTCAAATGTTGACTTTCTTTAGAGACTCATTAAAATGTCAGTGTCCTGAAAGATTTGTAAGTCACTTAGTTGCTTCTCACAAAGGGATTAAAAGACTAAGGTTATAAACAAATTAAAAGATGAAGAGATTTGAGGGTTGGCTTATGTTCATTTAAATTGTGAATCTAGGCAAGACCTCTATGTAAAGCTAGCTATTTTATGCCAGGCCTAACAGGTTGTGAATTTAGTTTTTCAGTGCTCCTGATGTGTAAGGTATTGATGAACGCCTCCCTTGAAGTGTTTAGGCCCTGAGGCATGACTCTTCAAATTCCCATAAGACTGATTTATAAAATCTATGGCAATTGATTAATTTTAATGGAGAATCAGTCTGCCACAAAATGCCTGAAAAACTACGACATCTCTTTCCCCTTGCTGTAATCAAGGACTACTGCAATATAGGTTAAAACTCAGGAGACTGTTTAGTGAATATAGAACTCAAGCAAAGGGAGGTTAGTGGTAATGGTGAGTTGCTCTTCTGCCATACAGGTACATCTGCCTCTCCTAAAACTGTAAGACTCTAGAGCCAGTCTCCCCGCTACCTGGTGTCTGTCCAGGAGGAAGATGTAGCATATGAGAGGGGGTATTCAGTCTTATTTGCTGCTCTTACTGTTTTTAGGCCTTCAGGAGAGGAAAGAGACAATCCGTGGTGTATACTCTGTGATTGACCAGCTCTCCCGAACTCATCTCAATACACTGGAACGCCTCATCTTTCATTTAGTCAGGTAACTTCAAGAAGCAAGGGAATGTTTTAAGAGTTTCTCTTGGATTCTTTTAAATAAATGAAGGGCTCCTCCATTTGGAAAACTGACAGATATATTTTTTTCTCTTGTTTATAAAGTCAAGCCTTAAACAGATGGTTACAGTTTCTTGGAGCAGAAAGCCTCAGCTGATTTAGACTACATGGCAGGTGCTTCTCTATTCTATTTGAGCCATGTATCAGCTTCAGCCTCGTGGTGGCACTCTATAGTCTTGCATGTTATCTAACCCCTAAACTAGAAAGGATGTATATCTGTTGACATAACCTAATTCATAGTAAGTGGGTTCAGATGGTGCTCAGGAATGGACTGACCAAAGAGACTTCAGGAATAGTCTCTCTTCACCTGAGTGTAAATATAAGCAGTAGTTGGGAAAGATTCCATCTTTCTTTTTGGATAAATACCTTATATGACCATCTGAAAATGCCTTAAAGTCTCTTCTCCATTCTTCAGATGTGTTCATCTAGTGATGGTGACCTTGGGCAGAGGGTCACAAATTTCCCTTGGTAAGCTATCTGCTGGTCTACATTGCTTCAAGGAAGGACCAGAGTGAAAGTGCATTTTCCAGAGGCAAAAGAACAGCTTTGGGAAAAGTCTACAGTGTTTCCCTTCAACTGATGTGACTCTCCTTCCACTACTATGCAGTTGATGTCATACATCTTTTTTCTCTCATCTTTTCTGCGTACCTCCCTACTATTTTTGCTTTTATTGTGGTTTCACTTGGGTTTTTTTGTACCTTAGGATTGCTCTACAGGAAGATAGTAATCGAATGTCTGCTAATGCTTTAGCCATTGTGTTTGCGCCCTGCATTCTCCGCTGCCCTGACACCATTGACCCGCTACAAAGTGTGCAGGACATCAGTAAGACTACCACGTAAGGCCAGTCACTATCACCTCTGCAAAACCCTGGGGACTTCTGAGTTGCTGTAGTCACTTTATCCAGATATAAAATTTAGTGAATGGTTTCATAAGTTCAGATGTTTTTAAGAAGGCAGCTAGACACCATTGGATTGTCTTATGCTGAAGATGAAAAATTTTTTTAGATTCTGTTCACCTGAGCATCATTTGTTTTGAAGGGTCTTATTTTTTAAATTTGACTTTTCTTTAAGAATGCTTATAGTTTCTAAACACATTTTAAAATTCCATTTTACCAAATTACATACACTTTGTATCGTCCTGTAATCTAGTCTAACTATGGTATTATGGCTCTGAATCCCTTTGGTCTTAATACTTCAATATTCTTGTATTTCACCTTGGCCTTTTTTCATGGGCCTCTGCTTTCCTTCTAGAGTGGTGGTTCTTAACCTTGACTGCAAAAAGAGCTTGGAAAAAAACTAGTGTTTGTGTCCTATCCCCAGAGAGTCTGATTTATTTGGTCTGGGGTATGGCCTGGGCACTGGGACTTATAACCACTTCTCAGATGAATACTAAAGTGCAGCCAATGTTGTAAATCGCCTTTCTAAACCCTATCTCTGAGCTCGTAAAATAAGGGATGTTGATTTTTCTTTTATCCTCCAACCATCTACCACACTTAGCTAAAAAACATTCTGGGGGTACTACACTTTCTTTGATTTACTTCAGCTCCTAAGGGTTTTCTCTTTCCTTCTGTTTCAGCTGTGTGGAGCTAATTGTTGTGGAACAAATGAATAAATATAAGGCTCGTCTCAAAGACATCAGTAGCCTGGAATTTGCTGAGAATAAGGCAAAGACCAGGCTATCACTGATTCGTAGATCAATGGTAAGATGCAAGACATATAATCATAGGGGAAAATGGGAGCCCTCATGGGATTTTAAGTGTGCATTTATGGTGTAGAGAGAAGTTATTCTTTGAATGTTTTTCACATGGAACAAGTGAAAAAAAAATCACCTCATCTCAGAGTACTATGGATGCCTCATGTTTGATCTTTTAGCTGTCTTTAATTATATGTATGGAATATACGCAGTTAAATGTGCAGAATTTTTTAAATCAAGTGTTCAGATTGGGGCCAGCCCCATGGCCGAGTGGTTAAGTTTGTGCGCTCCACTTCGGTGGCCCAGGGTTTCACCGGTTCGGATCCTAGGTACTACATGGCACCGCTCATCAGGCCATGCTGAGGTGGCATCCTACACAGCACAACCAGAGGCGCTCACAACTAGAATATACAACTCTGTACTGGGGGGCTTTGGGGAGAAGAAGAAAAGAAAATGTTTGGATAAAGTGGTGGTGGTTTAATAATCTGCCCTGTTTTCTTTTTCTGTCCTTTCTCTGAAAACTTAACGTGTTCTTACTTTTTTCGCTACTTCCTTCCGCCATCTGTTCCCATGCATAACCATGTCACTTTTGGTCCTGCCAATACTCCTGGGATATAGAGAACTTAATCATTTGCAAGAATGTGATTCATAAGGAAATGGGATTCCATCTATGAGTCTACTATTATCAAATAAAGATTTCTTTCAGTGTTTATTGTTAGGTTTTGAGAAAAGCCTTGCAAAAAATAATTTATCTCCTCCATTTGCCCCCTTTTCTGTTTAATATCTTCCTTTGTAACCAGTGACCTGTAAATAGATAACTGCAGTTCCCACTGCCCAATAATCAAGAGGGTCTGGGTAGCTGGAAAACTGCTACATTAAAGTTTAATTATTGCCCATTTGCTACTCTTACCCTCAATTGTAAAACAAAATTATAGTGATGAACGCCCACTCAGATCCCCAGAAAATCTCAAAAAAGAAGCAAGCTTCCCTGTCATCATGCCCATGCTATTCCAGGGGCCCAGCAATACTTCTTCCGTATCTTCATAGTTTATACTTAGATTATCATTAAAGTAACTGTCTTCCTTCACTGTTTAAACAGCCTGGCACATGCCAAGTGCTCAACAAATGTTTGCTGATTAAGTTAGTGAAGGGTCTTCTCTAAAAACAAATATAAACATAGACTTTTTCCAGGCAGTAAAGATTAAATAAATCTCATCATAGGATACCGTCTAAATCTTTTCCCCAGAAAATGGAAATAGAAACCACATTTAAAAGTGAATCTCGGAGGCCAGCCCCGTAGCCAAGTGGTTAAGTTCGCGCGCTCCGCTTTGGCAGCCCAGAGTTTCACCAGTTCAGATCCTGGGTGCAGATGTGGCACCCTCATCGGGCCATGCTGGGGCTCCATCCCACATGCCACAACTAGAAGGACCCACAACTCAAAATATACAACTATGTACTGGGGGGCTTCAGGGAGATAAAGGAAAAATAAAATCTTTAAACGTGAGTCTCTTTTTGTAGTGTGAATTCTCAGTTCTGAGAGGCCCCAATTTAGCAGTGCCCATCCAGGGAGGAAGGGAAGAGACCTTTTGCTTATATAAAGCTACTTTTCAAAGCAGCTAGACAAGCTGTGCTTTTTTTTGCTGATGCTGCAGAAGGTGGATACATTCAGTCCATTAACAGACTAAACCTTCTCTTTTAATGTGGCAATGACATGTAAATTCTAACCTTCTGCTTTCCTTTTCATGTCCTTCCTAATCCAGAAACCTGTACTAATTGCAGTTAGATTTATGAGCATTACCCGCAATTCAGTCTCGGTATGTATTAATATTGCAATGTGTCACAGCCACTTTTTGTTATTGTCTCTCATCCATCCAGGAGTTGTTCTGCTCTGTCTGTCATCCATGCCTGTCCACGCTTCATGTGCAGCCCCAATTCAGGTTCCGCTTCCTGACTGGCCTTCACTTGCGTTTCTCTTACTCTCTTTTTTTAGAAGCTTTATTTTCCTTCCTTTGTATCATGCAGTTGAATGATGTCCATTTACAATATACTGGTTTTTCCTCTGTCAGATAAGCCTCTTTGTGATTTCTTCTTTGGTTGGATCATTAAAAAGTGAACGTTGAAAGCATTGAGGTATCAAATTAATTTCTGCTCTATGAGCTTTGTTCCCATCAATTTCCTCCACTTTATTACTTAAAATATTTATTTCTGCTTTCAGCATCCTCCATTATTAGTAATGCTTGTTTGTCCATTCATATCTGTGACTTTGATAGTGTCTTCCCAGATGTGAAAGTGTGGCTCTTATCTGCTTAACATTTTTCAGGTAGAGTAGCAAATAGTAGTGAGCAAATTGACAGACTGGTTCTAAACTTAAAATCATAGTATAATAGAACTCATCCCAGGATTTCATTGATTATACAAAAAAGGAATAGAGAGATGGAAAGCTAACGCCAATATATATGGAAACTAATTTCAGAGACTATCCATCTATGTGTAACCAGTTCATTGAGGATGCCAGTTTGTTGGGTTATAAATACAAATCAGTTTTGCTTTTTTATCTGATAACTGCCTCCCAACTCTACCATGTCAAAGTCCCCTTGCCTACTGGCTGTCAACTACCTTAACAGCATCTTGTCACTATGCTGTAATTTTCAAATACTCTAGTCTCATTCCAGTGTTTAAGACTTAGTTCTTTTCACATTATAACTTCAGTCACAGGCTTGAGGCAGTACTCTTGTCGCTTTCTCCCAGGGTAGACTAGACTTTAATCTGAGGCTGAGAACTTTGGGGGTGAGTGAGTAGGTTCTTTTTGTCACACACTTCTGCTCTCCCTCTTTCTTGTGCTTTTTCTTTTTCTGGTGTTGAACCTGGGAGGAGTGATAGGAGTGGCAGAATTCTACATAATATCCCAGTGTTGAGGGCCAGTCCTTTTTCTTGATTGTTCAGTGTTATTATTCAAGCTCATTATCAATAGGCTAAATAAAGATGAGTGGTAGTTCCAGTTTATCCTGCCAACAGTGAGGTCAATCCTATCCCATTTCCAATCCTATCCTAGTTCCATAGGCATTGGCAACCCCTTGCAAGATTTGGTTATATCTTCTGGCCAAACCTGATTGATGGCATTCACACCATGTGACCCTGATATGTATATCTTTTTTTGCCTGAAGACTTTACCCAATCAGATCTACCGCCCATGGCCAATTCTAGGGCCTGCAGGCGCGTTAGGGGAAAAGGTTACATTTTTCATACCTCTTGGGAACCAAGAACTCAAGGTGGCAATAGTCTTAGCCTACTTTTCTACCTGACACTTCCCCACCACACTCTCTCCCCATTTCCCTTTCCCTGTGCATATAATAGAGAGGCAAATCAATAGGCCTTTTGCCTACACAAATAATCAAACAGGGAATGCAGTACCAGTCTGCATTTCTTTTAGATGGCCTCTAACTTTGATTCTTATCCTCTAGATTCAGATGTGACACTACTATTTTCCCCAGTCAGGGAAGGGAATATCCTCTTTTCATAAATTCTACGTTCCCTTCAAAGTCCAGTAGCCCCCTTTTTCTTTTCTGCCTTTTTAGATTTACATTGAAGGAAGGTGTTACAATATTGATGATAAGACTGGTTCAATAAACTGGTGCCTCTTGGTAAGCCCTGAGAGAAGAGGCTGGTACGAAGTTCTGTTGGCTCTTTGAAGCTAAAGGAAGGAGTACTTAATTATTCTCAGCTTTGGGTCTTAGCCACAACTTTGGGACAGGAAGAAAAATCCCACTTAACATCCTCTTGCATATACATTTAGCTGTACACCGAGTCTTAAGAACAAGACTATATCTAGGACCTATTCAGTATTCAGTAAGCATTTATGGAAGTAAATCTAAGAATTGAATCTAGGTAAGATAGCAGTGAGTTTTTAGGATATCCACTACAAATAGACTAATCAAAGTCAATAGTGTTCATGTATTCATAAATGAAAAAATTTCTCTTTCATAATTAAATATAATAGTGACTTTTTTGAAAAGAAGGATTAACTACATTTATGAAAAGTATATTGTACTGTTGCCAATGTGAAAAGTCATTTGAGTTGGATGTTGAAAGATGAGTAGTAATTTAACACATAGGGAGGGGAAAGACAATTCCAGAGGCAAGGAGGCATGAAACAGCAATCCAGGAATAATAGCTGCTTTGAGTAGCTAAAGCTAGGGCAGGCAGTGTGGAAATGGCAGAAGAATTTGGAAAGGTAGATTGGAACCAGATGTGCAAGATTAGGAATTTTGAATTTCCTGCTTTGAAGCATTAGGGAGCTATGGAAAGGTTTTTAAATAGGGGAATGTCACCAACAGTGTCTTTTAGAAGATAACTGGTAGCATTCTGAAGAATGGATTAGAGATGGGTAAGACTGGCAGCCATGTATCAATTAGGAGACTCTTGACTTGTAAATAATCATGTTTGTCATCGCTAAAATAAGTTGAATCCTGGTCATTTTATTTTGAAATGACTTTGAAAATCTCTGTTTCTACTACCATGTGAAAAGTGGTAATTAGATTTAGGGAGCATAATCTTTGACTAGGCTACTTCCAGACTAGGATTTCAGAACATGTTACGCTTACAGTCCATCCAGTTATGCCTTTTCTATAACAAATGGTTTTTGTTATTTATTTATGCTGTAATTCCAAACATAAATAGGGATTTAGCACTAATTAGCTAATATAATATGAAGAATATAATTTGAAATATGTTTTACTAATCTATAAAACCCTCATAAATAATCCTCTTTGAAAGATATTACACACGAAGGTTTCCACAGCCAAACAAAGTTTGGGATATAATGCGTAGCACTTTCAAAACTTTGACCATGGAGTGCTTTTCTTCATAATGTATTAAGTTGAACAGGGTTCTAAGCAAGGCATTTTTAAAACAACATTTTAATTTTTAATACTATTCAAATATCAGTTGCTACTTTATTTACTTAGTTGGAATTTTAAAATTACTCTAAGTCTTTTCATGGTTTTTCTGCTATGCTTATAGGGGTTGGCAGTACTTGGGAATTTTGTATCTTCTAGGCTTATTAAAGAACTTCCTTGCATGTCTCTGTTAGAAATTGGCATACGTGCAATTCTAAATTAATGTGGATAAGTAGATCTGTGGGGTTAAGCTTTGCAATTGACTACACCAAAAGAAGCAAGAAATGCCTCTCCAAAAGTTAAGAATTAATAGTTGGAAAGCCAAGAATCATTTGAAAAGTGACAGCTCTAAAGAGCTCCAAAGGAAAGAGATATTTCAAGTGTGGACTTATCTGACTCTAGCAAAGGGTACTGTCATTTCCTTACCTTTGTGCATGGTATCTAAATCTACTATTCACATTCAGGTGACTTGAGGTAATAAGAATCAGATTCAAAGAATGAAGATTCTCTCAGAATATAGAACCATTCTTACTGTTTCTGGTACTGACTAGCACGTATTTTTGTAGTGTTATCTTTCTTTTAAGATATAATTGACATACAGCATTGTGTTAGTTGTAGACGTACAACATAATGATTTGATACATGCATATATTGCAAAATGGTTACCACAATAAGTTTAGTTAACATCTATCACTACACGTAGTTACAATTTTTTGTGTGTGATGAGAACTCGTAGTGTTATCTTTGATGCCACCACTACCAGAAGACCCCCACACTTTCTATTTCTCCCTACCCCTCTTCCAGAGATCATTATGGGATGCAGGAGGCATTACTTGAAGATCTGCATGCAGGGCCCGTGGTGAGGAGGGTTAGGCACAGGACCTTTTTGGGAGAGTAGACAAAAGGAGAACAGTATTTGTGTTCTTTTTTGTGTATTTGTGAAAGAAGCATCTCTTTCAAAGCCTTGGAATCTTCTTATTCTCTCAGATGGGGACAAACAGGAAGAAAAATTATGTAGGGAATTCTTATAGATAGAATTCCATAGGAGTGTAATAACTACAGTATTATCTGGCAAGAGAACTTGACTCTTTTCAGGAGACCTGAAAAATTAGGTTTGGGGAGTGAAAGGCAGAAGTTAGGAAGTAAGAAAATATAAAGATGACTGTGGTTTGGAGACGATTGGATTATAAGTGAGAGAAGAAAAGGTGAAGAGTTTACAAACGGTAGAGTGATCCAGGCTGTTTGTATGTTTAGAGAATAAAAGGTACAGAATGCTAGAGAGGAATGAATGATGTTGGCTTCCTATGTAATTTTTGCTGCTAGAAGGAGTTTACCTACAGGTGTACCATTTATATTCTAAAAATTGATTGTTAAATAGTCTCAGTTTACTCTTGTATCTCCTTTTTTAAAAAAATTCAGATTTGAAGCTTCATACTAGCCCTTTTTGCATAATGTACTTAATACTTTTTAGAGAAACTTTTCTAATTTCTCACAGAACTTGAAATTGAAAGATAAACTATTATATATTTATTTTCAAATCATTGGAATTATTTCTTTACCTTATATACTGTCTTTTAAAATTAGCCATTTGATAAATCTAAGATCTTTTTCTACATTAAAGACACATTCACATAATTGTTTTATGTTAATTGTGGAAAATTTTGAACAGTAGGGTAAAGTGTAAAAAGCGTGAAGAAAATCATGATTGTCTATTAATATTTTAGAATATTTATAGTTGTCTTGAACTTTTTCCTTACGTGTATTTAATGAAGTTATGACAATACTATAGTATTCATAGTTTTATGTTTCTTTTATTATTTTTGGAAGGTTTTTGTAGAGATAAAATATTAGTTCAATTCAGAATCATAAATTCATTTAATATTTTTAAACTTTTACAATTTTACTAAGTAAAAATGAGA